TTTCTTTTTGGTGCTGTGGATTGAACTAGGGCCTCACACATGCTAAGCATATGCTCTACCACTGAGAAATATATCCAGTCCCTCATATAGACTTAAATCATCTCTAGGTTACTTATAATCCCTAACATATTGTAAATGCTACGTAAAGGTAAAATTTAGGGAAAAATGAGAAGGAACAAAGTCTGGACATGTTTTGTACAGGTGTCATGTTTTCCCAGAATATTTGTAATCTGTGGTTTGTTTAATCCACATATGTGGAACTCACAGACATGAGGGGCAGACTGCATATATTTGCATGTATATAATATATGCTATAAAGCACTACATACATTAGGCATATTACTACCCACCCAATGCAACTACTAGTAGAGAACACAAGATTACATCCTGTTACACAGTATATGAGTACTTTAAATTTTATAAAAGCAATTATTATTGTATGAAAAGAGATGCCTTCTCAGCCAAGTGTGATAGCACATACCTGGGAACTGAGGCAGGAAAATCCCAAGCTTGAGGCATGCTTGGATGACTTATTGAGATCCTGTGTCAAAATTTTTTTTAAAGTTTATTTATTTATTTTTGTCTTTTTGAGACAAGGTTTCACTATGCAGTTCAGGCTGGCCTCAAGCTCACTTTGTAGCCCTGGCTGGTCTCGAATTTGCAACGATCCTCCTGCCTCAGCCTCCTCAGTGCTGGGATTATAGGCATGCACCACCATTCCCAGCTCCCTGTCTCAAAATTTTAACTCCCTTCTCCCCCATATCAAAAAAAAAGCTATATGAAAAAAAAAACATATAGCTGAGTATATAGCTCAATGCCAAAGTCCTGGGTTCAAGCCCCAGTACTGCCAAAACAAAAAAAAAAAGAGAGACAGGGAAGCAGGATGAGATCTGCCTTCTCATAAAGTTGGTCTAAGTCTTGATAAAAACTAATGGAAATATTTTTAAAACTCAAATAAAAAATGTTAAGTTGTGAACTATACCCTAGAAAGTATGAAGAGCGAGCCAGGTGTGGTGACTCACATCTGTAATTCCAGCACTCAGGAGGCAAAGCAGGAGGATCACTGTGAGTTCGGGACCAGACTGGGCTACAAAGTGAGCTCAAGGTCAGTCTGTACTGCACAGTGAGACCCTGTCTCAAAAAGACAAAAAAAAAAAAAAAGGAATTACAAAGAGATATAGTTGTGCCTCGGTTCACAAACACTGTTGTGTTTGCTAACAATCTGACTCCCAAACAGAAGCATTTGGCAAAACTTTGTTCTTGTTTGCGAACTCCGCACTGGATGGCAAATATGACTGCAGCCCTTTCCCATGCAAACACAAACGCGGCCATCTTTTCTAAAATCACGTAACACATTAAATTCGTGAACCAAGGTACCACTGTACATTTTCATTGCCTATCTTTCTCGAGACGATTCCATTCTTCTAAATCAGGTTGCCTGAGCTCAAACTGCAGCTCCAACACTAACATGTGACCCTAGGCAAGTGAGTATCTCCACACCTCAGCAAAATGGAGATATTAATACTAATCTCATAAAGCCGGTTATGAGAACAAATGGATTAATCCATATACAGAACTTACAACAGTGCCTATTATGTTTCCATGGGTTAAGCCCAGTGAAGACAAAAGCACAGCTCTTACTGTCATGGATCTTCTAATCTACTAGGAATTCAAAGTAAACAACAAATACTATGCATAATTACCATCATATAGTACATGAGAACAAACAGGAGCCCTCAAGTTGGAGTTCTGGACAGGCTTTCTGGAAAAAACTGGGAATTACCACGCAACAGCAGAACAGGAGAGGTCAGGTCATCACACATGTAGAAAGGCCCACTGGCTCTACCCTTATGAACAGTGGGAAAGGCAAGGGTGGTAATACGCTGGATTCGGGGTAAATCAACTGTCATGAGCAAGACAGTACAAATTTGGCATTTGAATTAAACAAGAAATTCTTGATAACCCAGATAGAGATGATGCCAGAGCAGCTACTTAAAAGGAAACCAAAGTTCCTGTTTTTTAAAAAAATTATTATCTTTTATTCTTGGCTACTTTTTGGAAGCTTAAATTGCCCTCTTTTTGTAATATACTGGTGAAAGGAAGAACTTGTGATTTACTAAAGTGCATGGAAGTCACTTAAATCTACATCCTCTGGAATAAACTTAGTTATAAAGTTTGATTTGACTAGTTTTAATACTAAGCTACAGGACTCAACAAGAGTATAAATGGTTTTGACAAAAACTCAGGAACTAAGAACACTTATTTAACTTAGAAGTCACAGCTAGCTTTCCCACAGTTCAGTTGATGTTGCAGGATCCTGTTTTACTAAGACTATTTGAACTATTTGAAGTATACTACATCTTTTCCTGATCACGAAATGAGATGATTTACATATTTTAAGAGTACCAATTCCCAAGCTGGGCGTGGTGGCACCCCCCTCAAATCCCAGCACTCTGTAATCCCAGCACTCGGGAAGCTGAGAGGCAAGAGGATCTTTGCAAGTTTGAGACCAGCCTGAACTGCATAGCAAGAGTCTCAAAAAGATACCCACCCCACAAAAAAAGAGTACCAATTCCCATTTGCATTGCACTTTACCACTTTGAAGACCTTAGAGGCGCCATATTGGAGGACGGCCAGGCAAGTTATGACCACTAAGTGGGTGAGAAATCTGAAACAAAGACTAAAGCACTTGCCTAAGCTTTAAAAAAATAGAAACTCAACATTTATTCATTTAACAAATACCTTCAGTGCCAAAACTACGTGCTAGGGACTGACAAGGATGGTGAAAAAGTTCCTGCTCTCTAGTTTTACATTTTAATAGAAGAGAGACATAAACAAGTAAACACAAACAACATAATTTCAAATAAATTGTATGAAGAAAATATGGCAAGCCGATAGTAACTGCAGAATGACAGTCGTCAGTGATCTAAGGAAGTAGCATCTGCAGCAAGGCCTGAATAAAAATAAACTGTATGGGCACATCCTAGAGAGAGGAAAAGTATAAAGCCTCAGAGGCAAGAAGATCTTGGAAAAAAATAAAACTACCTCACAATTAAAAAAAAAAAAAAAAGATCTTGGACAGCAAGGTGGACAAACAGCTTCAGAGGAATAACAGAGAACAGTGGCCTGGTTATGTGGGGCCCTCAGGCCATTCTAGGAAACAGAATTTAAATGCTACTGGAAATACGGAAGTGAGATCCAATTTGCTTTCACACCAGTTATTAAGCCTTTGTATGAGGAATGCATTGCAATGCCATCAGGAAGAGGCACTGATAAAAGTGTATCCCCTGGAGAGTATTGCTTTGATTGGACACATGGGTGTTTCGTAAAACTTCATACTTTGCCATATAAAGTTTCATAATTTTTTATTGTTTGGGGGGATTTTTCTGTTTTTGTTTTTTTAGAGAGTTTCACTATGTACATAGTTCAGGCTGGCCTTGCACTCACTATGTATTCCACTCTGGCCTCGAACTCCCAGCAATCCTCCTGCCTCCATCTCCCAAATGCTGGGATTACAGGTGTGCATCTCATAATTTTTTAAAAAAATACACTGTAGACATGTCAAGGTAGAAGCAGACACTAACTAGAATGCAACTGCCCAAGACATGTAATCACTGTGTATCACAATATATAGTAGTTTAAAAACAGACAAACAGCACAGGAGTGCTGTGATGGAAATCTAGTCTCGAGAGGAGAGCAGTGGGAGTGAAAAGGAATGAAATTTGGAACACGTACTGGCACTAAGGTCAATAGGTGTTCCGGACAGTGACAGAAACCAAGGCTGACCGGCGCTTGTCAAGGAGGGGTGATTTCGCCCTCCAAAGCTCGCGTGCGTGCAATATCTGAGGACACCCTTCTCACAAGCGGTGATAAGTGGAGGGGTACTGCTAGAATCTGTGGGCAGAGGCCAAGGATGCTGTTACATATACTAAAATACACAGCAGTAAAACATCCCAGAATACCCATACTTACAGAGGAATCTACCAAAAAAACTTTTAAAAAAACCCACACCACCCACCAAAAAACCTAGAAATGCAAGTCATTACTTTCAAGATTCAGAGAAATCTAAAGTACGCTACGGTATACTATACTTAAAACAAAGATTTGGCAGTAAATTATATCAAGATGCTAACATGTTGCTCAAAGGTCTGAGAGGTGAAGTCTAATAAAATATTTTTAAAAATCAATTACTGGTTAATAAATGCCATTTGTTGGGCAGACTTCCTTAAAATAAAAATATAACTGAAAATTTTCTATTTAACAATACCAACAGTTTTTACAATGCTTCTGAATATTGCTACAATTAAATCCGTAGCCTGATAATACTTACTACTTTTCCAAATACAATTTCCACAAAAGAACAGGTAAGAGTAGTGAAAGAAATGACCAGCGCTATAAAGAGGTAATTTCAGCTGGTTAGCAGAAAATCATGGCCCACTTGTATCCACAAGCAAGGGACCGTTAACTTATTTTGGGATTAAAACAGGTGGTCACAGTAGTTTTACAGGCGATCACAAGACTGGAACACACATTTCTCTCACTCTCTCCAGGACTAGCAATGGACAAAGTATTTTTTTAGAACAATTCACAGAAGGCAAAACCGCCACAAACTTTAGAAAGTTCCTGGAAAGAACGTGAGGGGCGGTGGGCTCACTCTGGTATACTTCAGTCTGAACAGAGTAAGACTTCTTTTTTCGGTCTTTTTGAGACAGGGTCTCGCTGTGCAACCTTGAGCTGATATGTAGCCCAGGCTGGTCTCGAACTCGCAACGATCCTCCTGCCTCAGCCTCCCGAGTTGCTGGGATTACAGGCGTGCGCCACCACGCTCGGCAACAGAGTAAAACTTCTAAAGCACCTTACTGGTTCCTGGAACTACTAGAGCCAATCCAGATTTACATAAAATGCTCGGTGAGGCCTGAAATTATTCGACAACTACAGCAGTTAATAGACATCGTCCACAAAAAATCACCTAGCCCGGGGACGGTAATTCGGACCACTACCTTATAGCTGAGAGCGCACAGGTGCGTAGGGAAGCTACCAGGAACAAGGGTGGCTTCGGTCAGGAAACGGATGCTGCTGGCTATAAGGACCTCACTCAAACGAGCAAGGGACGCACAGCATCGCGCCTAAACCTGAGTCCGACGGACAATCGCGTCCCACTGGCACCGCCAGCTCGTCCGCCTTTCGAGCAAAAACTTGGAACGAAGGCACCTCTAGCCCAGCTCCATCCCCGCTTGTGACAGAACTAAGAAACAACCGGGCAGAAGTAAAATACGCGGGCACTTTACTACCCTGGACACCAGGCCGGGCTCCCACCAGGCCCGGAGGACGTTTTCGGGGCGTCCCGCGCGGCGTCCGGCGCGCTTCTCCCGGCCGCGGCGCCCTCGCGACAGTCGCGTCGTCGTCACCCCGGCGGCGACAAGCCCTTCCCCACGGATACCCAGAACGGACTCCGCGGAAAACCCTTCCTGAGATCGCGACCGGTAAGACACAATCACTCCTTTTTCTTCGCGCTTTCTGCAACTCAACCCCAACCGCGGGGGCAGCCCCGGCCTCAAGCCCTCAAGCCCCGGGAACAATGACCCAGCCTCACCCCAACCACGCGCGGAGAGGACGCGCCAAGATCAACCCTATTCTCGCGGTATGTTACGCTCAACTCTCGCGACACTTTCTACCTCTTCTTCTTTCTCGGCTCCACCCCGCCACGGCAACGCGTTGCCTCAGAAACATCGCGGGATTTCCGTCGCTCAGTCTCCGCCTCTTTACGGCACGATGGTCGCACAAGAATGTGATCGAGCCTCGACGGCCGCCATTTTCTTCCTTTCTTAGCAGTTAGCTGGAAGGAGATCCGTGAAGCGGCAGCGGCTCCCATAGTACGGCGATGGCTGACTACTCAACAGTGCCTCCACCCTCCTCTGGCTCCGCCGGTGGCGGCGGCGGCGGCGGCGGCGGTGGAGGAGTTAACGATGCTTTCAAAGATGCGCTACAGAGAGCCCGGCAGGTGAGTGCGGACCGCGCGGCGGTGCCCGAAGGCGCACGGTAACTGGCCGCCGGCCGCGTAGGCCGCTTCCTCCCGGCGCGGGAGTCGGAGGAACGCGGCGCCCTTCCGGGCTGAAAGGCGAGCGGAGTCGCGGCGCCCCGCTCGGTGCCAGCGGCCGGGAAGCGCCGCCGAGGTTCGCG